CCAGTGAGAATTATTTCCTAGACCCATAATTTCATTTTCTCTATTTAAGTAAACATACAGTGTAGTCCTGCTTTCAAGAACAGCACTCAGTGATTTATCTCTTACATATGCCACCCAGTGCACATCCCAGAAAGTGCCCTCCTTAATGCCCATCACCCATGTAGTCCATCCCCCACCCACCTCCCCTCCAGCAACCCTCAGTTTGTTCTCTGTAGGTAAGAGTCTCTTATGGTTTGCCTCCCTCTCTGTTTTCATTTGATTTTTCCTTCCTTTCCCTTGTGTTACTCCGCTGTGTTTCTTAAACTCCACATATGAGTGAAAGCATATATTTGTCTTTCTATGACTGATTCTTTCAATTAGCATGATACACTCTTGTTCCATTCACATTGTTGTAAATGGCATGAATTTATTCTTTTTAATCGAGGAGTGGTATTCCGTTGTATGTATAAACCACATCTTCTTTATCTATTCATCAGTCGACGAACATCTGGGCTCCTTCCATAATTTGGCTATTGTTGATAGCGCTGCTATAAACCTTCGGGTGCATGTACCCCTTCTAAATAGCATACCTGTATCCGTTGGATAAATACCTAGTAGTGCAATTGCTGGGTTGTAGGGAGTTCTGTTTTTAATTTTTTGAGGAGCCTCCATACTGTTTCCCAGAGTGGCTGCAGCAGTTTGCATTCCCACCAGCTGTGCAAAAGGGTTCCTCTTTCTCTGCATCCTCACCAACATCCGTTGTTCCCTGAGTTGTTAATGTTGGCCATTCTGACGGGTGTGAGGTGGCATCTCATCATGATTTTGATTTGTATTTCCCTGATGTTGAGTGATGCTGAGCATCTTTTCATATGTCTGTTAGCCATCTGGATGTCTTCTTTGGAATAATGTCTATTCATGTTTTCTGCCCATTTCTTCACTAGATTATTTGGTCTTGGGGTACTGAGTTTGGTAAGTTCTTTACAGATTTTAGATACTAACCCTTTATCCAATATGTCATCTGCAAATGTCTTCTCCCATTCTGTCAGTTGCTTTGAATTTTGTTGATTGTTTCTGTCCCTGTCCTATGCCCGTAATTTTAAACAGCACTTTGGGGATGAGCACTGAGTGTTATGTGGAAACTAATTTGACAATAAACTATTTGTAAAAAAATAAAAAATAAAAAAATTAAAAAAAAACACAAAAAAAAAAAAATAAAAAAATAAACAGCACTTCCAGGGTTGAAAATTCTGCCAAGGCCAGCAGAGGGCGCTGTGTAGGTGCAACCAGAGGAGGAAATAGGGCTTCAGGGCTGAGCTCATCTTCATTTCTGCTGCTATGGAAACCCTGTGAGATGCTAGGTGCTGTACCCAGCCCCTTCCGCCACCAGGAAAGTTGCTGAGCGACTTGGTGATCCTCCCCTATTATTTGAGAGTGGTGTGGAAGGAGACTGCATAGCAGTTCTGGGGGGCTGAGGTCCCATGTTTAGGCTGCTACAGTGGGGCAGGTTGTAGGGAATGGTGTCAAATCAGAAGCATCTTGCAAGGCTCCTTCCTTAGTTGGGCCACCACTTTGTGTTTTTTTTTTTTTTTCTTTTCTCTTTTTTTTTTTTTTTACAAATAGTTTATTGTCAAATTAGTTTCTACATAACACTCAGTGCTCATCCCCAAAGTGCCCTCCTTCATGCCCATCCTCCCCTCCCCCCCACATCCATCAGTCCTCAGTTTTTGTCAGCATTCAAGAGTCTCTCATGGTTTGCCTCTCTCCCTTTCCCCCACCATTTCCGCCCTTCTTCTCCCCCTTGGTCCTCCGTCAAGTTCCTCCTAATCCTCCTATACGTGCAAACATATGATATTTGTCCTTCTCTGCCTGACTTATTTTGCTCAGCATAACACCCTCAAGGTCCATCCATGTTGCTACACATGGCCAAATTTCATTGTTTCTCATTGCCATGTAGTATTCCATGGTATAGATAAACCACATCTTCTTGATCCATTCATTTGTCGATGGACACTTAGGCTCTTTCCATGTTTTAGCTATTGTGGAGAGTGCTGCTATGAACATTGGGGTCCATGTGCTCCTATGCCTCAGCATTTCTGTATCCCTTGGGTAAATTCCTAGCAGTGCTATTGCTGGGTCATAAGGGAGTTCTATTGTTAGTTTCCTGAGGAACCTCCACACTGTTTTCCAGAGGGGCTGCACCAGTTTGCATTCCCACCAACAGTGCAGGAGGGTGCCCGTTTCTCCACATCCTCGCCAGCATCTAGAGTTCTCTGATTTGCTCATTTTAGCCACTCTGACTGGCGTGAGGTGGTATCTCAGTGTGGTTTTGATTTGTATTTCCCTGATGAGGAGGGATGCTGAGCATCGTTTCATGTGTCTGTTGGCCATCTGGATGTCCTCTTTGGAGAAGTGTCTGTTCATGTCTTCTGCCCATTTCTTCACTGGGTTGTTTGTTTTTCGGGCGTGTAGTTTGGTGAGTTCCTTATAGATTCTGGATATTAACCCTTTATCTGATATGTCATTTGCAACTATCTTTTCCCATTCCGTTGGTTGCCTATTAATTTTCTGGGTTGTTTCCTTGGCTGTGCAGAAGCTTTTAATCTTGATGAGGTGTTGGGCCACCACTTTGGACCACGGGATGTGAAAAACTCAATCAGAGAGGACTGGATGACCACCTGGCCAGAAGGACAAGGGTCAAGGCATCGGCTTTGGCTGGGTCAGAGGGGATTGGCCAAAGTGAGTCTGTTTGGGGTACCTCAATCAAAGACATAAACTTGAGATGGAGAAATTGTTCCCCTGAAGCTGCCCAGGAACCCCTGGGGTGGAGGCAGATCCTTGGACAGTAAGTGACACGAGAGAGGGTAGCCCTCAAACCCAGGAGTGGTTTCCTAGGAGTGGGCTCCTAGAAAAGCCCAGTTTTGAGCTCTCAGAGCTCAAAATAAGTTAAGTAATAAGTTAAGTGTTTGAAACTAACTTGCATGGAAACATAGAGTTGAAGGAACAGCATGTTAGATTTCTGAACACTCCCAAGGGAGGGAGGGGGAGGAAACATAGCCTCGCTGCGAAACTCAGAAAGGCGAGAAAGTGAATGTGTAGATTCAGCGGCCACTTGCAGGGAGGGGAAGAATCAAGAGGGGAGGCGTTGCCTCAGCTGATTCCACGGAGAGCTCAGGAGCTGGAATGAATCATCAGGGCTGTCCTTCAGTAGACATGGAGCCCAGCCCTCATATTCCCACCTAGAGCTCAGTGGATTTAGGCTACGCTGGGGCTGCCACCATGGATGAGGGGCTCTCTGCAACCGAGGCAATCCCTGAAGAAGTGGACAGCTGAAAGCGCCTGCAGGGGGCATCTTGAAGGCAGATCCAGGCAGTACATCTCTGCCCTTCACAATACATTCCCTGGACACTTACACTCCATGCACCCCATAGTTCTCACCCCCTACTTCTCCCCTAATTTCTACCCGATGGCCTGATGGGACTGAGGTGTAGGCTGAGAGAAGGTGAAGAGTCCATCCAAGGAACTCACGGTGCTCAAAGTTACGAATTTTCCAGTGTTCTTCACGTAATTGATTACTAGTTTCAGTGGTAAGAAAAGATGCTTGATGATTTCAATCTTCTTGAATTTATTGAGACTTGTTTTGTGCCCTAACACACAATCTGTCCTAGAGAATGTTCCAGGGGCACTTGAGAAGAATGCGTATTGTTGCTTTTGGATAGAATGTTCTGTGTGTATCCAAATCCATCCGATCTAACGTGTCATCAAGGCCAATGTTTCCTTATTAATTTGTGTCTGGATGATATATGCATTGATGCGAGCGGAATATTAAAGTCCTCTATTATTGTGCTGCTGTGTACTTGTCCCTTCGGGTCTGTTACTGTTACTTTACAGGTTCGAGTGCTCCTATGTCAGGTGCATAAATATTTACAAATGGGATGTCCCTTTATTGCACTGACTCCTTATCATTTTGTAACACCCTTGTCTCTTATTACAGGCTTTGTTTCAACACTGATTTTGCCTGTTACTAGTATAGCTACCCCTGCTCTTCTTTCCAGTCGCACACGTGATAATCACATCAACACAAGCACATAAATATGGCCAAGCCATGACGCTGAATAAAACATCTAAAATGTCAATCATAAAATAAATTCGATCATGGGGAGGGGGGATGGGCATGGAGGAGGGCACTTGTGGGGATGAGCACTGGGTGTTATGTGGAAACTAATTTGACAATAAACCATCTGTAAAAAAAAATAAATAAAATAAAATAAAATGTCAATCATAAAATAAATTCGATCAGCTTTACTAGAGGAAAGACCGAATTATCTTCCCATTCTCTGGAGAAAATACTACAAAATGAGTATCAAAGAAGAGGCTGAGTGAAAAATGTGTCGGGGGGGGGGAAAAAAAGGTGTTCCAGGGGGTTAATAAAAATAGTTTCTTTACCTGGGTTCTGTATAGCATTTATAGTATTTCTTCCTCTTAAACGTATGTTCATTTTCCGCCTCCTTTTGCATCGGTGATTTGGTGGGGTCTTGCTTGGACACCCCTCACCTCCCCCGCGCCCCGAGGTCCTAACTGCGCCGGACCAGGGAGGGGCCAGGGGAGGAAGCTGTCCAGGGGACATTTGGGTGACAGCGGCCCGCACACCGAGGCGAGACCGTCACCCAGGCGTCGCCTGTGCACAACGGAGGAATTCCACGAATCCCTCCGCATTCCCACAGGACTCTCGAGCGGCCCTGCCGAGTAACAGGAGCGGAAGCGGTGAGAAGTTCCGGCCTTCACCGAAGACAAGGGCGGCGGGAGACACGCCCACCCTCCTGCCGCCCCCCTCCCCCCGCCAGCCCACGCTTGGGTGGGGCCAGAAACTCGGGCGCGGATTGGCCTGGAGCAAGACGCGACAACACGTTTGAAAGGGCCAATCAGCGCCCGGTCTCTCCTCACCAGCCAATAGAAAGTCGGAGGGGCAAGCTGAGAGGGCGGGAGTCGCTGTTTGAACCGAAGCGCCGAAGGGGCCGCGGCGCTGCCTGTCGCCGGAGTCGGGTGTGGGTCTCCTGGAGCCATGGAGGGCGAGCCGCTGGCAGAGGACGCGCTGCTGTGGCAGCTCCGGGACAGCCGCCGCCGCTTCCAGACGCGCATGCAGCGGCTGATAGAAAAGGTGCCCCCCCCCCAACAGGCCTGCTGGAGTCGGGGAGGCAGGGCGCGAGGCCGATGGGGAGGGGAAAACAGGGCCGGGGGCTGGGGTGACTAAAGGTGGAGGCGGCCGAGCGCGAGGCCAAGTTGGGGAGTGCGGGTTGGGAAGGGGAGGGGAGACCGGGGTGGAGAAGAGGAAGCGGGATTGGGGGCGCTGGAGTAGAGAGGGGAGGTGGTTGGGGGGGCGAGAGGGAGGGAGACGGGTTTGGGGGGTCCTCCAGACTTCCAGCCTCGGGCTGGCGCTTCCTCAGCCGCTGGCGGCCCGCGGAGCTGAAGGGATGCCCGTTTCTCTCCCGCAGTACAACCAGCCCTTCGAGGATGCACCGCTGGTGCGGATGTCCACGCTGACCTATGAGACACCCCAGGGTACGGAGTCCTCCCCACCTTCTGAATATTTACAGTTAAGAGTGTGAACAGGATACTGTCTTCCCAGAGTTTGAAATGCTATCCCTGCTCTCCTGTGAAAATTTTGTTCACCGAATAAGAGCTGAAACATTCCTAGTTCCCTTGAACCTATAAATTACTTATTTTTAAACTACTTATTAAAAACAGAATTCTGCAGATCCCTGGATGCAAGCCGGTTCACAATGCCCCTGCCTGACCACTTACCCTGTTGCCTTGGCCAATTGCTTTTTTGCTTTTTTTTTTTTTTTTTTAATTTTTTAAGTTTATTTTTGAGAGAGAGAGAGAGAGAGAGATGGAGTGTGAGTGGGGGAGGGACAGAGAGGGAAACACAGAATCGGAAGCAGGCTCCAGGCTCTGAGCTGTCAGCACAGACACGGGCTCAGAGATGACCTGAGCCAAAGTCAGACAGTTAGCCAATTGAGCCGCCCAGGCACACTGTGGACCAATTGCTTTAACAGCCAAGGCTGTGTTGTGTCTCTGTTTCTTCATCTGTCAAATGGGAAGATGGTAGTAATCTACTTGATGGGGATGTTGTAAGTTACAGGAGCTGCTTGGGAAGCTCTTGGAACAGGGCCCAGCTCTTGTAAACACTCTTATTGACAGTTATTTGACCTGTTTGACCTGGAGTATTAGCTATCCTTCTTGAGATTCCGAGTACTTGGAACTTGACCTGAGTATAGAGAGAAGGGGCCGTTTTGTTTAGTGGTGGATGTTGTATGCTGACTTAAATCTCACAGATTCTCCTTGGTAACTAGGTGAAGAAAGTTTGCCCTGGGTGAAGTCAGTTCTTCCCACTCCGTCTTATTACCAGCTCATTAGGACCTGCTAATGAAGGCAAATCTCAGATCCAGTTTTATGATGCATTGGACAGACAGACACTAAAAGTTTCATAAGATCTGCTTCTGAAGTTAAAGTTTTAGCTCTCTGCATTTCTAGCTGACCCAGCCACACCTTGGATGAAAAGTTTATGAAGACAGAAGCTAAGATAGTCCAGCTCCAGGTTTCTGTTACTCTCTGGTCTCGTCAGGCAATAACAAATCTAACCTGAAGGCAGGACCCAGGGCTGTGGAGGAATCATTCCCATCAGCAGGCTTCATATTCTTAGGCACTGTTTATGCAAGGAATAGTCTGGCAACTCCACGTATCTAGAATACCACTAACTTCACTGGTGAAACTCACTTCTGACTCCAGTTTAATGAGAACAGTAGAACACTGCACTTTGAGGGCACCCACAATTTAGCATGTAGAGCAGCGCAGCCTCCTGGACAGCCTGTTAAAATAGATTTCTGAGGGGGTGCCTGGGTGGCTCAGTCAGATAAGCATCCGACTTCGGCTCAGGTCATGATCTCACGGTTCATGGATTCGAGGCCCGCGTGGGGCTCTGTGCTGACAGCCAGCTCAGAACCTGTAGTCTGTTTCCGATTCTTTGTCTCCCTCTCTCTCTGACCCTCCCCTGCTCATGCTGTCTCTCTTTCTCTCTAAAAAATAAATAAAACATTAAAAAAAATTTTTTTAAATAGATTCCTGAGGCCTCTGGCCGTGGTGCTAGGTGCAGACTGAGCAGGTCTAACGAGCTCCTAGCTGATGATTGTACAGTTTCTCTGACATTTTGCTCAGCCTGGAGACCTACTCAGTTAGGGGAGGGCCATTCTGATTAGAGCTAACTGACCACCTTTGCTGTAGTATAAAGATCATAAGGTGTAGACCATGGCTAACACTCCCACACCAATTATGACGAAGGCAGTAGGGGAGGAATATTTGCTCACACGTGTTGATAGCTAACCGTGTGCCCTATGCTTCTGGAGTCTTATGGTTTTGATTCTCAGCAACCCTTTGGGGTAGGTACTGTCCTTAGGATCATGGTTTCCTAGCAGAGGATGCAGCAGAAAGACATAAAGGAACTAGCCCCATGTCACTTAGCCAAACTGGCAAAGCCTTGACTTGACTGAGCACATTTGCTCAGCATCACTCCGTTCCAGAAAGGCCACATGGCCCAGTGGTCAGGAAGGAGCACAGAGAGTCACTCCCTTGGGTTCCCAGCCCGGCTTCACATGGCTGAGCGGCCTGGGCTGGTTGCTGGACCTACTTCTTGCCTCTGTGTCTCCATCTGGGCGGTGAACTTGGAGAGTACCTACCCCCTGGGGCATTAGGAGTCCTCTACGAGTTCTGTACAGGTGAGCTGTGGATACTGAATGAGGTGGACTTGGAAAGTGTCTGGAATAGAGCCTGGAGCACTGTAAGTACCATGAGTGCTAGTCTCATTAGCACCATCTCAACCCAGTGGTCCCTTCTCGTTCACTTGAATTTACCAGGGGACAAGTGGAGGTTCAGGGAGACATGAAGTAATTTTTGCCCCCGTTCTGCTAACGAGTGAGGGGCAGGACTCCTAATCTCCATGTTTACCCCACATTTAGGCTTTGTTCTAGACATCTAGATTGCCTTCAAAAGTGCTTCCAGTCTATGCACAGTATATAGGTTGCTCTCAATATATATATTTTGAGTACAGTACTTGGCCCAACTGTGTTCCTTATTTCTGCTTAACTCTGTGGCTTAATGAGATTTCCACTAATGACAGATTTTTGTCTAATGTTAATTAAAAAAAAAAAAAACACTTCCAACCTCACAAAGGTGACAAACAGCGGGTATCAGGAGTATGGCTTGGCTTCCTTGTATTATGTCTTTATTTTGCCCGTCACTTTGGTTTTCTCTGAACACAGATTGGACATTCAGCAGTCAGGATTATTTAAGCGGTAATTTTTCTTTCATTTCTTTTCTGAAGGCTTGAGAATTTGGGGTGGAGGATTAGTAAAGAAGAAAAACAAAGAACAAATCCAGGTATTTAATGTCCAGTCTTACTGCCTCCACGTGCTGCCGTGCGGGAATAGCCATGTGCATAAAGGCGCAGGTCAGCTGTGACTGCACCGATGTCACTGCGGGGCTTCTGTTCTGGGGCTTTCTCACCGATATACCCCCTTTTCCTCTAAGGATTTGCTGAGAATCTGTTGCTCGTCGGATACCAGGAGGAGCTACATTGATGCTTAAGCCCTTTCTGCCCCCTTTTCCTCCGCTGTAGGCCAAGGGGCTCTTGACAACAGTCCCATATGCAGGGCTGGCCAGCGGGAGAAAGCTGCCCCGGCCCCAGCCCCAGCTGCGAGCTTACTTTTGGGTCCTTTATAGAAAAGCCCCAACCCCGTTCCTTTGAAGAAAGAAACATGCCTCCTTTCTCTTCTGTAGGGGAGGAGATTAGGGAGAGGGGACAGAGTCACACGTCTTGTCTCCGCGTGGGGCTGCCTTCCAAAACCCAGGCGTGGTTTCTTCTGAATGTATCCATTGATGGCAGGACAGTGAGGCCTGTGAGGTTCACGCAGGTGCCGATACAGCCTGCCTGCCTCCTGGGAGAGCCACGGAGTCGTGCTACAGTCATTTTTGCAGGAATTCCTCTCAGGACCGCTTCTCAGCCCAGAAGCCTGTGCCCCAGAATGGAAGCGCCAGGGTTAGGATTCCAAAGCAATTAACAGCAGTTCTGAAACAAAATTTCTTCCTGATTACCTGACTCCCATACATACTATGTTTAGTTGTAAAAATGTTAGAAATACAGACAGCTATTAAAATCAACCTGAGTCCAATAGTCACTAACAATAGTTTAGTGTAATCTGATTCCCGCCTGTAACACATATTCTTACCCCCTCTTTTTTACATGATAAACACTGTGAACATTTCTTTTCATCATCCATTGTACAACTCAGTCGACTTTACTTATTTATTTGCTTATTTATTTATTGTTATTTTTCATCTTTAATTTTTGAGAGAGAGAACAGAGGAGGGGTGGGGAGAGAGGAGGAGGGTCGGAGGATCCAAAGCAGGCTCTGCACGGACAACCCGATGCAGGCCTGAACTCAGAACTGTACCGGAAGAGAGAGGCCTGTGAAACCCTGCTCTCTCATATGCGAAATTTAGGAAGGATTATAGGTTTGTTACCGTGGCTTTGAAGTATGTTCTCACTGAAGCCTGTCTTTATCCACTTCTGTGCTTTGGAGGACTCCCTGGTGAAGACTTTTGAGGACACCCGGGTCAGCAGGAGCAGCGATGACCCCACGGAAGCCGAAGCCCAAGGTACGGTGCTCCCCGAGCCCAGCACGCCAGCCCTGGGAGTGGGTGAGTGTCCCTGCGCTAGGAATTGGGGGCCGGAGGGACCCGCGCCCCTGGCACGGCACATAAAGCCCAGACTTTCTCCAAGGCTATGTTAAAAGCGGGAGCATCTTAAAGTGCCTGTCACTTGGTCTCCACTCCCCGGAGCGCCTGTCTTGCCCGGTTAGGACCGTGGTGCTTACGCGGAAACAGCGCTCCAGTGTTCTTGAGTAATGGACACACGCCCTGGTCAGGCTTTGTAACTTATAGCCGCCCCACCACCCCCCCGCCTTTAAAAATTAATGTCAGGAATTTAACGAAACGTCAGATTTGCCCTGCGGGCCGCGTTTGAGCTGCTGACTTCTGCAGAACGTTTCTCTGCCCAAACGCCACCCCAGCCTGTTTTCTGGGCAACCTGTTGTCCCCATCTTTCACTCGCTGGCCTCTCCCTCTGCCCTGGATGCGTCCCTTTGAACGCGCTCGGGTTCCACCGAAAGCACGCGGAACAGACTTAGGGGTCTCCTAATCCCGTGTCCCTTCTAGCCACCTGCCGGGTCACTTCCCTTCTCGAACAAACTGCCACTCGCTCTTCGGCCAGCGCCGTGCGGCCCGGGCTCCATCCGGCCCGGGCTCCATCTGGAAGGCGTGACGCTCCGCGGTCCCATCCGCCGGCACCGGTGACTCCCACTGGCATTCTGTGGCTTCTGTCCCATTGCCCTCTTGGTGCCATTTGAAGCTTCTGGAAATCCTGTAAATGGCCTGTGGCCCTGTGCCTGCTGGGTTTTCTTCCTTCCCAGCACCCCCTACCTCCCCTTCTCCACTGGATGCCCTTTCTTGAGATTGGTCTGAGCCCCTCACTCTGCTGGAACCCCCATCCCAGACCCAGTCTGGGTGTGTTTATTGCCTGTCAGCCTCACTTCTTGAAGACTTTGCCTAAACTCGAGAAATCTAAACTGAAGAGGTCAACCCAGCAGCATTCCCATTGGCTCAAGGCCTGCCACCATCTTCCCTGTAGAATGAGCCAGAAACCCAGTCCCTCCTGCCCTTCTCATGCCCAGGACATCCCCCTCCTGTGGCTTTGCCTCCCACGGTCCCTTGTGCGGCTCTGCTCCCGTGCCCCATCGCACCCCCAGGTTACCAGCCCTGCCCCCGCTGACACCTACCATCAGAACAGACCCCGCCTTCACCCAAGCTGTCTACACCAGCTCTCCTCCTGGTAGCAGTTAGCCAGCTGGGTCATCACAGGTTTGTAACTGGTCCTAAATCCCCAGCTCCTGCCGGCCCCGGCCTGTAGCCTCTGTCTGCTCGCCCAGCCCTCGCCAGGCACCTTGCCCGCTCCGGCCGTCCGTACAATGAGTTGAGTCCCACGGGGAAAACTGGCGGTCATTCAGAGTAGAACTAGAAAGGCCTTAAGGAAGGTGTTGAGTCACAGGTGTTGTCCGCTTACAGTGTTGATCCAGATTTTAACCCTGCAGATCCTTAGGTCCCTGAGTTTCTGGACTGCTCGGAATAATTAGAAGCATTTGCCCTAGAGCTGCACTGTCCAGGGTGGAGGCTCTGGCGGCCTGTGGCGAGTCAGATTAACTGGAAGTTAAGTACAATGGAAACTTTTATTTATGTGCCTCACGAGCCACATGTGGCCAGTGGCTGACTTACTAGGTGGCGGGTAGGGAACTTTCTGCCCCCGCAGAATAGGATGGTGCTGGGCTAGAGCGACCCGGCTCCAAGGACCAGAGGCCACTGAAGAAGCTTGAGGCGACAGAAAGCTGCTTCGCTAGTCTCCACCACCTGAGGCATGTTCCTGTTCAGATGGGTTTGTTGCATTACTGATAACCAGGACAGCGACAGATGCCTCTGTCCTTATTAAAGGGACCCTAGAACATACTCTAGTGGTGCAAAAACTACCCATGAAAGGAAAATGCAAGCCTTCTTTAAAATTCGCAGGGCACCTGGGTGGCTCAGTCAGTTAAGCCTCCGACTTCAACCCAGGTAATGATCTCACAATTCGTGGGTTTCAGTCCCGCATCGGGCCCTGTGCTGACATCTCAGAGCCTGGAGCCTGCTTTAGATTCTGTGTCTCCCTCTCCCTCTGCCTCTCCTCTGCTCATGCTCTGTCTCTGTCTCTCTCTCAGAAGTAAACATTTAAAAAAAATTTTTTTAAATAAAATTCTGATTCAGATTTCCTTTTTTTGCTTTTAGATTCAAAAAGCAGTGATGCTGCGTCTTTATGTGAGGAAGACGTGGTTGCCGGGGCCTTCATGGTAAGACCTGCCTTTTGTGATGAAGGGACCGAGCCAGGGCCTGCGGGGCGGGGGGGGGGGGTGCACCCCCATTGCCTGTGCCCTTTCTCGAGCTCCTCTTTGGAGGCTCGCTCTTTGCTGACGCCACCCGTCCCGTCCTGTCTCTGATCCTCCCTTCAGATCCCTCCAGGCAGCAGGGGTCTCCTTCCCTCTAGCACGCAGCAGCCCTTACTCCCCTGGTTCAAGTCGGATTTCCTGGACTTGCATACATGTCAGGTGGTGTTCCCTGTGCAGACAGAATAGTCACCGTTCACGGTGTGCCGTGTACCCTCGATTGAGCACGCTGCATTGACAGTTAGGCTCTAAATTATCTTTGCCCAAAGAAGCCATGTCATAGGAAGATGTTTCTAGAAAATCTTTCCCGGTCAGCCCTTGGAAGCCCAGTTAGTCACAAGGTCATTCGGGCCATTGTTCTGTGTCCCCCAGAGTGCCCCCACAGACCCAGGAGCACCTGTCTCTCCCCGCCCCCCATCTGGGTCTGATCTCCCCTTCCTTCCAGTGGGATGCAAGTGAATGCACAGAGAACTCAGTCTAGGGGTGTCTTTCCCAGACCCAGTGTCAGATGCTAGAATGGCTGGTATGTGGCTTTTCTCGAAAACTGTTCTTTTTGTGCAGAGTTTGCCCATACACCCAATGTGTGACTTTTAGTGTCTAATTAAATAAGGCAGTGACCCTGGGGGGAAGTGGGGGCAAGGCTCTACTTTTTGAAGCATTATTACATAGGGGTGGCTGTGCAGGGGTGGGTGGCCCCAGCGGCAGTGAAGAACCCCCCGGACAATGTGGGTGTGTGTGATCCCCCATCTGCAGCCACTCAGGTGCAGAGAGTAAAGGTCGGGACCCCCTATCCCCAGGCCGCATCCTGAGCCAAAATACTGCGCGTCTTTTCTTGTGAACACTCGGGTTGGGACTAATTCTAATAGCTGAGTCCTGAACTCGCCCAAGAATAATCGGATTATTTTCAATTGTTTTGTAGCAATGCCGTCATAAACCTCCCAACAGGCCCATGTCGGGTGTTTTTTTGTTTGTTTGTCTTTTTGATCTTTTACTTTTGGATTGTTGCCACTGGGTGAATTATTTCAAGTTTGATTTCTGGGTCAGGTGGGATTTCAGAGGGGCCAGTCGCTTTGCACTGCTAACAGCAAGGAGTGAAAAATGACTTCGAGGAGCTTCATTTCCTGACGTGTAATTGATGAACTTGCCAGTCAGCTCCAGAATCAAGAGCTTGTCCACACCCACAAGCTCTTAAGAATACTGATTCTTTTGTATCAGCCTGCAGTGCCTTGGAGCCCTTTGAAAAATGAGTTAAGAAGGAAGTACTTGACCCAGGTGGATACACTGCTGCGGGATGAAGGGTGTTTAGAGGTAAGGTGTTTCCCAGGGTGTATCCTCATATAATTGAATCCTAACCTAGAGACATATCAAGGTACGTTAATCAGGTTCACTGTTAATCAGGTTCACTCTCCGCAGGAGTCTGTGAGGAGCCTTTGGAACAATTGTTTCCCATCCATTTCCGTCACAGGCTTGCAGACTGGCGTCCCCCTTGAGGGGGTGATCAGGGAAACCCAGGGGATGGCCCTCTGTCACCCAGTGTTCTAGGGCGGGCCCCTCCCTCGGGGGAGGTGAGAGGGAAGTGCTGGCTCCCGCCTCCCCGCTTCTCTGGTGTGAGCAAGGCGCGCCTTCCCCACCATCCTCGGCCACATCCCTGGGGGGCTACAGGAAAGCCCTCACCTGGGGTGGGTGCCTGCCATGCTGCACCGTAGCCACTTCCTGGAGCGTGACGGACGGAGCAAGGACGCCAACCCCAGTTTCTGTCCGATCTTCCCGTAAGGAAAGAACACGTTCATATCACATAACCAGGAGGTGCGCGTTCTGTGCCGTGAAAGGCAGCAGACGGGAGCACAGACGGTCTCTTTCTGGGCCGCTGACAGCGAGGAGGCTGCGTCTGAGGACCGCCGAGCTGGTGCAGCTGCTGGGAACAACCTTTCCCTTCACCCTAGAGCAGCAGGGGCAGCCTGGGGGCGGTGCCCCGGAGGCCACGGGGACCAGGCTCCCAGAGTTTGCTAAGACGCCTCTCCCCAGCGTTGCTGGAGGCTGCGGCCACCGCGGCTGCCAAGCTCAGATGCACAGCCTGCGTGGTGGGGGAGGAACCGCGATCACACCGTCCCATGGGGTGCGGCCCTGCGGTTAGGGCACTGGGGCGCCCGGAGTCCACACACGTTCAATCACATGCTTTGTTTTCAGTGTGCTGATGACGGAGACGGAGAGGACACACGCGTGACACCGACCCCTCCACAGGCCTCTCCCGCCAGGCCCGCCCCTGGTGAGTGTGACACAGACACTTTGCGTGAACCATGTCCCGTTCACTTTTGGCAAAGCTGCAGCGCCCCTAACACGGGGCACCCTTTTGCTGACCTGACGTAAACTGTTAGAGACTCCAGCACATAATCGGTGAACTGCTTTTTTCCCGAGGCTCCGGCACACTCACTGCTGATTAGCTCTGTATCACAGGTGACTGTTGTGAAAGGTTTTGAATCTCCAGAAACACGGGACTCCTGCAATAACCACCCTTTCCTTGCATTTGCAGTCAACCTTTTGTCGCATTTGCTTATCTGTCCCCTGCACACACAGCGCACAGATGCACGCATGCATATGCACACAGCACACCATACACATGCACGCACACATATACGCACACACAGTGTGCACATACTTGCACACAAAGCACACACATACATTCACGTGCACATATGCAAACACAATCACGTATACGCACACATAAACACACAATACACACATGTATGTGCACATACACTCACACACAGCACACATACATGCACACACGGTACGTGCACACGTGTGCCTACGCACACGCACACACCGTGTACGTCCTCCGCAGTCACACATACGCTCTCCCTAAGTGCTTGCAGGCCTAGGCACGGCGTAGCCCCCACACGGCTGCAGCGGGCCCAGCACGTACCAGGGCCTAGTCCTCTCCCACACCACAGTCCAGAAGGTTCCTCGGCCGAGTTCTGTCTCTGTCGGCTCCTTCTTGCCATGACTTTCCTGAATAGCACTGACTGCTGGTATTTTTGCAGCACGTCCCTCAATTTGGGCTTCCCTGATGGTTTCCTCAAGGTTAAGTTCATGTTAAATGTTTTTGGCAAAAATGCTACACAGGCGATGATGTGTTATCTCGGGATCGTGTCACTCTGTCATGTTATTGGTGATGCGTGAGCCTGGCCACTTAGCTAAGGAGGGACCCGCCAGGCTTCTCACTACAGAAGCGCCCCTTCCTCAGCGGCATCTGCGGGTACCCCTCCCCCGGCTCCCCACAAACCCCCCCCCCCAAGGTGTCGGCGCCAGGCCGCGACTCCTGCCTGTGTCCCTGCCCATAGACCCTTCCCTGGTTCGGCCGTCCCCTCCCTCCCACCCATGCACCTGCTGGCGTCCTTCCGTAAACAAATGCCACGTCCCTTCATGCCCTGATTCTGTGCCTTTCTTTATCCCCACGCACTTTCACTTTTTAAAAAAATTTTTTTCTAGAATCAATAAGAACTCATGCGCTTTTTTTTAAAACTCGCGTATGAGAAGCTATTGATGCTCAGGTTGGCCCCAATCAGCCTGCAGGAGCCCCTCATGCTGGCTTCCGCGGCCTCTGACCAGTCCTGTCCGTTTTTGAGCACTTTGTCCCCCAGCCATGACCTTGACCCCACAGATGTTGCCAGCACCAAAGTCCTGCGCTCATTTGGCTGGTCATGCATTGTGGGTGACTTCAGAACCACGGCCCCTGCTACCATGTGCTTGACAACCTGCTGAAGAAGGTTCAGGCGTCCCGGGCAGCTCTTGGATCCTCAGGCAGTACCCCCACTGAGGGTCCACGGTCAGGATTGTGTTCAGAGTCCCTCAGATGCTTTTGTTTCTTTCCATTGTCACCACCTTGATATGCACTTAGGTTCTTTTTTTTTTTTTTTGTATTCACTTTTAGAATTCTCTTTGTCGGTTTAATTTTATTTTTTAAACCTATAAAACATTTATCATGATGTGAAGGTCAAAGCTGAATGAAGAGATGTATTCAGGAGTCCTATGCCTCCCTTACCCGTTCCCCGGAGGTAAACAGTGTCATTGTTCGGTTCCTAATTAGACTTTGAAAAGGGGCATCCAACGTGTAAGCCATCATACAGGCAGGGAAGACCCCTTTGGGGGAAGTTTGGGCAGAAAGTACGAATTTCAGTTTGATAACTAGAAAGAAATCTCTGAGGAGAATCTATCCTCACGTTTGTGTGGACTTTTTCTCTTGTTCTATGTATTGTAGTCGTGATGCAGCCTTTGAGTTCCGTGGTGTCCGCAGGTGGGCCGTCTTGAATGGTGGCACTTTCCTCTGTTTTCCTGCAGGACGCCGCGGCAGCATGTCCAGGGAGAGTCCCGGCGGCCCAGTGTGGCCGGCTTCACGCCCCTGCTCAGCAGCCCTGGCCCTGGTGCCTAGAGGTGACGGTCTCTCGCTACAGGGACCCGGGGGGCACAGCTTCTCCAGCAGCCTGTCCTTTGAGCCCGATGACATCTGTGACGTGACCATCAGCGATCTGTACGCGGGCATGCTGCACTCAATGAGCCGCCTGCTGAGCACAAAGCCATCGTGCGTCATCTCCACCAAAACCTCGTTCGTTGTTCACAGCTGGCCCTCGAGGAGCAGACGCTCCCGGAGCAGAATGAACAGGACTCGCGGCCCGGGCGGCCGGCACTGTCCAAGGGGCTCCCGGGAGAGGCCCCCCGTCCCTGCCGAGCCACCCAAGGAGGCGGAAGTGTTAAGAGATTGTGAGAACATACTAGATGCTTCTGGCCAGAAGACGGGTGTGAAACTGGAAAAAGCTTTTCTTGAAGTCAGCAAACCCCGAGTCCTTAAACGGGATCCAGGCTGGAAAGAGTTTAAGGGGTTCAGGAGTCTAACACCCCAGAGGCCTTCTTCATTAACATATGGAGACTCAAGCCCAGGGTGTCATCTCGATCCAAAAAATAGATACAAGGCCTTAAAATGGTTGATTTCTCCCGTAAAAATCGTGTCCAGATCAAGAATCCTGCCAGGCAAGGGAGCGAATTATTACAGGGAAATTGAAATCAAGTTTGATAAGCTTCATCGGGAATATTGCCCCAGTCCCCGGAAGCAGCCCTTCCTGACTTCTCTCCCGGGATCCTTGGCCGTGGACGTGTACAGGGGTGGCCCAGCGAGCCCCCGTGGCCCCCGCGGCTTAGAAACCCGCCGGCTCAGCGGAACTTTTGGCACAGCAGAAGCCAAGAGGTTAAATGAGGCCTTTGAAGAGCTGGGTGAAGGAGCTATGGGAGCAGGGCGATGCCTGCAGAAATGGGGTCCCCCTCCCTCGCTTTCAGAGACCAGCCCCGTGCGGAGCCCAGGCCGCTCCGAACGGACACTTCTTCTCCAAGGGAACAAGCTCGGAATACTTAGCAAGTCCATATCGCCCAGCAAAACTACTTCCGCAGCAGGGGTACAGCCTCTAAGCTGTGACAGAGATCGTTACAAGGAAATAAAAGAACAGTTTGACAAGCTTCATCAAAAGTATTGCCACAAATCCCCTCCGCGGACGAAGGCACTTTTACGTATCAGAGCACCTCCAGATAAAGCAAGTGTGGAAGTTCAGTATCAGAAGGGCACCGTGGGGAAATTAAATCCAGACCCTGGCTTCCGAGGTCCCCCGAGGCTGTTGGCATCACCCCCGCGGAGCATAGAGCGTCCACTGCACGTAACCACCACTGCGGCTCAACCGTTAACATGCTTTGTGCTCACCGCCGGCAGGGGCCACCAGTCCCCTCCAAAGAGACGCCGATTGTCAGATTCTGTGCTGTGTGGACCGTGGGCCGGTTCCCAGGATTCCCCGAGAGAGGTGGGCCAGCCCGTCCCCAGGCCGGGGGAGAGGCCTGCTCCTTACAGCCCCGCTGAGAAAAGAAGGTGGGTTTCTGCTTGCTGCACGCGGGTGTTTTATAACAAGATGCTTCTGTGTTCATTTTCCAAACTCTCTTCCAGATTCTCTTCCTTCTTCTGAAATCAGCATGTGTATCAAGCATGTGCATGTGTGGGGCTGGAAGTGTCCTTACACGGAATGTTTTACACATTCCCCACCCCCATGCATTTAGGGGGCTTTTCTGAAAAACCTTAACGGGGGTGAGGGGGTGGACAGGTCACCAAGCGCTGTTAGACTCCTTCCCGTGCTTTCCAGCGTGCACTTGGTGTGTCTGCAGGCCGGGGTCCCAGACGATGCAGCTCTTCTGATGGGTGCACGTGTGGGGATTTATGCGTGGTGGTGAGGCTTCCTCCTCCCTCCTCACCCCGCACGGGTGGGCGGTCCCCTCGGTGGTTGTTCAGATGGACCCTCTCCGCCCTAAACGTCCATGTTCTCCTTTCCCACCTGTGCCCGCTTATCCTGTGACCCATCTCGGACCAGGCCACCGGCAGGCAGCCCGGAGCCACTTCCCGAGCCCTGTAGGGTGAGGCTTTCAGGGACCGTGACAGGCACTCGGGGAACACCTGAGCTTCCTTCTCCGGTGAGAGGGGGTTTTCACCAAAGGCAGCTCCTCAAGCGAGAGCCACGCCCGAGGTGGCCCCGCCCCTGGCCTTCAGAGCACCTGTCCCTCGGGCCCTGCTTGTCTGGGGCTGCAGCTGCTCACGCGCACCCTTCCTGACCTGTTCTCTACGACTTCCTGTCCCTCAGCTTCCCTCTGTGGCCTTCCTGCCTTGTCCCCAGGTTGCTGGCACGTCAAGCCGCCGGCTGACCCAGCCCCTGGAGCATAGTGGGGTCGCTCCCCCCCAGCCCTCTTCTGCCTCAGCTGCACCAAACCCCCCCTTCCCACTTCAGGAGACCCCACCCCCACCTGCTTGATGCCTGGCAGTCTCCTCTCGTTCACCTACCCGGCGAGGGCCACGTGGAGCAGGCACCAAGGTCACGGCCATGAGTGATGCCTTGTGTGGGGCAGTGGAGCAGGGGGAGAACTCAGCCCTCCCTAGGGCCCTCCCGGCTCCCCTGGAATTTGATACGTCACAGTGGCCGCCCCCTGAAGGCCTTTCACAGTCCCGCCTGAAACCGGGATACAAACTTCCTTAACCATTCTCCATATTTTTCTTCTTTCCCTACTTAAGTCATAGATGTCTTGAGGGAAGGGACCCAATCCTCCTGAGCTGTGACCACAGAAGGAATTTTAATGGCTAACATCTGAGTGCTTTCTGTGTGCCAGGCCGTGTGGAGCCTTCTCCACACCCCCCTGCCTTAATTTCCCACAGGAACCCTCTGATGAGATCGCTGTGATGAGTCTACAGCGATGAGTCCATACCCGCATTCCGGCGGGGGAGGGGGGAACGAGCAACCACCGGGTGACCTGCCTGCCCAGGGGGGATTACCTTCGGGTGGGTCTTTACATCGCTTACTGTGTTTATTAAGTGCAGTGGCATTTTCTCTAGGGGACACACCAATATTATTTATATATACATGCAGTGGAATGAATACAAAACAGTCCAACTTTTAGTGGCTTGGGAAATTCTAGTGGAATTTTACTGAAATCATTTTTCTTGTCTCCTTTTTTTCTTTTTCTAAAGGAAAGAACACATCTTTCAAGACGGAAGAGAAAAGTGATTTTGTATTAGAAAACTTCAAAGCTGGAGATGTAAATAGCCAACTTATTTTAGAGATTTGTCCCTCTTCTCCCTTACTCTGTGTGGGGTTTTTTTTTTAATCCTCAAGAATATGTGAGAATCGGCTTCATTTCTCTGCCCTTCAAAGCAAATATCCGTGAAATTGGTCCCATTTGAAAGGACTCTGAGTTCTTGGTATAGAAATTATTTGAATAAAGCTGCTCAATTCACAGCTGTCATGTGATCCTTTATAGGCCTGTTCTTCTCACGTGCTCTTTTTAAAATGTAGACGTGTTCTCAGAATGCTCTTCATTCCCTGTTGTCGGAGAGCAGCGCTTCTCCGATACCTGGGTCCGCCCTGGAAACGACGGCCCTCGCGGGGAGAGACCGCTGCTGACGTTGGAGTTCAGAACCAGAGACCTGCTCTCTTCTGTATTAGAAGGGAGTACATTGAAATGTAACTCACCCGTGACCAGTAATTCCTAACCTCTTCGGGCTTTTAGCTGAAAACGTGCTGTATTCAGACAGCCCTGCGATGATTACCACGCCCCCCCCCCCCCCCCCCCCCCGCACCTCTCGTGGCTCATGGATTTCGTGGCTGCTGTTTCTAATAGGTGCCATGTGACTTTTTAAATAAGATATTTCACATGTTCAGAGCACAGTGACAGCCTAGGTGCCAGCCCATGTGTCGTGGAGTTCTTGTTTTAAATCAAAAGTCAGAGGGGCGCCCAGGTGGCTCAGTCCGTTAAGTGTCTGACTTCGGCTCAGGCCATGATCTCGCAGTCCATGAGTTAGAGCCCGGTGTCAGGCTCTGTGCTGACAGCTCAGAGCCCAGAACCCGCTTCCTATTCTGTGTCTCCCTCTCTCTCTGCCCCTCTCCCCTTCACACTCTGCATCTCTCTGTCTCTGAAAAATGAATAAACCTTAAAACAAAAACTTAAATAAAAAGTCAAAAATGTTACATTTTGCATGCCCTCCCTTCCCATCCCCTTCTCCTGATACTGATACGTACCCCTTTCCTCCTGTGCCTTTGTGCTGGGACCACATTACCTGTAAGTTAGCTCAGGCCTCCGTAACAGGACCCCACAGACCAGGGGGCTTACACAGCAGAAACCTACTTCCCACAGTTCTGGAGGCTGGGAGGCAGGGATCAGGGTGCCCATACAGTCTGCTCTGCTGAAGGCCCTCTGCCTGGTGTCTCTTCTTAAAAGGGCACGAATCCCTTTGTGCAGGCCCCACCCTGGTGACCCCATCTGAACCAAATCACGTCCCACAGGCCCCACCTCAGATCCCATCACACTGTGGTTAGGACTTGCATGTGTGGACGTGGAGTTCATGTTCGGTCCGGAGCCCTGGGAATCAGAAGGGCTGTGCTGCTGGCGGCTGAGAACCTGCCAAGAGTCTTCCCCCCGCAGTGGCTTACTCTTCCTCCACGCAGCCTGACGGGGCTGTGCTGGCTCAGAGGCCACCAGGGCTGGGGTAGCCCCGCAGCTCCAGACCTTTCCCTCACAGCTACAACTTCCTAAGGAGAGCACAACCCATCCTCTGCTCTTCATCAGGAAACACACCCTTACCCAGCAGTGTGCCCACACTACCACCCCCTCTGAGCCCCCACACACCTCTTGCCTCATACCCAGTGGGCCGGTGCTATTGTCTCTGTCCAGGCCAGGCCCGGCTGCTGGAGAGACTGGGCTATATCAGGGGACTGATTATCATCTAGTGGAAGAAGGCAAGGTGTAAGAGACTGGGCATGGGTCTTAGCTAATTATTATTATTATTATTATTATTTTAGAGAGAGGCAATCTTGAGCAGGCTCCATGCCCAGCACAGAGCCCGGCATGGGGCTCGATCTCACAAACCATGAGATCACAACCTAAGCCAAAATCAAGACTCAGATGTTTAACCGGCTGAGCCACCCAGGCACCTGGGGGTCTTAGGTTAACTTATGGGGTCTGCTGATGAAGGACCCCATAGACTGTATGTGGGATGGCCTATGTTCTAAATGTGCACATAATTTAGTACTGCTTGTATTCTGCAACTTGGTTTCACCAAGAGGTGTTTGCACTTGACAGGAGCTGATGGGTGTGGGTGTCTCGTATCTCGAGTTTAGGTAGCTGGGAAACAAAAGCAAAAATGAACTATTGGGATCTCATCAAAATAAAAAGCTTCTGCACAGTGAAGGAAACAATCAGCAAAACTAAAAGGCAACCAATGGAATGGGAGAAGATATTTACAAACAGCATATCAGATAAAGGGTTAGTATCCAAAATCTACAAAGAACTTATCAAACTCAACACTAAAAGACAAATAATCCAGTGACACAATGGGCTAAGGACACGAACAGACACTTCTCCAAAGAAGACATCCAGATGGCCAACCAACACATGAAATGACGCTCAATGTCACTCATCATCAGGGAAATACAAATCAAAACCACAATGAGATACCACCTCACCCCTGTCAGAATGGCTAATGTGAACAACTCAGGCAACAACAGATGCCAGCGAGGATGTGGAGAAAGATTTCTTTTGCACAGCTGGTGAGAATGCAAACCGGTGCAGCCACCCTGGAAAACAGTACAGAGGTTCCTCAAAAAATTAAAAAGAGAACTACCCTACGACCCAGCAATTGCACTACTAGGTATTTATCCAAGGGATACAGGTATGTTATTTCAAAGGGATACACACACCCCGATGTTTATAGCAGCGCTATCAACAATAGCCAACGTATGGAATGGATAAAGACAATGTGGTATGTATATATATATGTCTGTGGGGCATGAATGAGGCTTCGCGCTGCCCAGCAGCCCTCTCCCACCAGCAGGCCCAGGGGGCGACTGCCTTTGGCAGCCCTGCTGTTCCCTGCTCTGGGGGCAACCACAGACTACTCTGCTGACAGCCTGAGTGCAGGGAAACTTCCCCGCTCGCCTCCCCTCTCTCCTGCCTGTTGCTTACATGGCCATCATTTCTCCTTTTTGACCGTCGGCCAGGTTCTGTTCCAGGCTTCGCTGGGTCCCTGCCCCCGCCTGTCCCATCCAGCCCCATGATGGGACGAGTGAGGGCAGGCCTGGTGTTGTGTCACTTCCCGGAGACCCCCCCATCGTCCCCAGGCTGGTGGGCACTCCCCCCTCCCTCTCCCCCCCACCCCCAGCCAGCACCACTGGGGCACTTCCACCCTCCTTATTCGGAAGCCCGTCACAGTCCCCAGCAGAGACCCTCTTCTCCCTTCAAGGCTGGAGTCCTAGGGGGCAGAGGCCAGACAGCAGCCTGCCCCCTCCCCCACTGCCCAGAACAGCGCCTGGCAGGGGACACGCCATCAGCGCCCGGGGTGGGGGGGGGGGGGAGGGGAGCACTGAAATGCACCAACATGGATTCAGACCCTCACACGCTCCGGGGAAGGCGGAAATAAGACGGCCCCATTGGGACTAAACTCTCCCTTTGCCCCACTGCCCTGGCTCTGGGTCGTTGTCACCTTACAAGTCAGGAATCTGTGCTCCAAATGGCAACGGAGGTTTATTTCCAAAGGGAGGAAAGAAAGGGACACGTTATTTTAGAACGATGCTTTTCTTAACAAACTAAATTTAAAAACTGTCCTGCGTTGCTGTGGTTTGGTGCTCTGAGGAGGCAGCCTGCGCTTTACACTCGGACCACCTAGCAAATTCCTTCGGGTGAAGCCAAAAGCTGCTGCTGACAGCAAGTATCCAGGACTCTGAGGGTCTCCAGGGAGGCCCTCCGGACCCCAGGATCCGAGTCCAGCTGCAGCTCCTGGAAAGCTGAGAGGGGGCGCAAACAGCATGGTCGGCCCAGCTCGGCGGTGCCCGCGGGCCTGTGCGGTTAGGGGCTCACACCAGCTGCCAAAGCCAAACCCCGGTATTTGCATATTTGCAATCAGAAGGCTGCAGGTGGAGCTGCATCTGGGGGCACACGCGCGCGCACACACACACACGCCATCTCAGCCTCCTGTTCTCTAACTGGGACAGAAAGATCACCCGCAAACCCACGTGCAGTGTGAGCCAGTTAAAGGAATCAGGGTGGAAACATCTCATAAACATTGGTGATGGGGAGGCGGGCAGAAGGCAGGGTGAACGAAGGGAAGGACTCCCGGGTCACATAGTTTTCTTCCTACAAAGCCCTCTGCAGGCTCATCGGGCTCTCTGCACCCTGATTACACATTCCCCCCAACCCCCACCAAAAATCAAAAACAAAAAACAAAAAAAATAATAACAAAAAAAAAAACACACACACACAAGGAAGGGTCAGCTGGCTCTTCCCTGGGAAGTTTCTCTAAATTCCCCAAATGAGGTCGTGGACTCAGTACAATTGAGTCTTTTCTACTTACAATTCCGTAATGTCGGAAAGTCCAGTTTTTTCAGATGATGGGCAGACATGTGGTTCATAATAATTCCTAAAACGAGGAATGACACACAAATATTAGGCCAGTGAGCAATTTCGTTTGACCTTAAGAGGTAGCTGTTGAGGATTCTGTTGAAGATGCACAGCCGAGAACCAGGCAGGTGTGAAGCCGGGTGGGATCGGACACAAAGAAGGGGACTTCCTCCGGAGCCCCTACTCGGCTGCCTGGGGCCCTGCTGCTCCAGGCCTGGGTGTGGCCCTCAATGTCCCTCCTGCATCAGGAGACATCTGCTTGCTCACCTGCCAAGTCGCACGCAGCAATTCTGATCCTTGGCAAGTTACTATTAACATAGGGCATTGCTTCTAGCAAGAAGCTGTAGAGCACAGCAGGCTTTTTCTGAGTCTGCAAAAACAAAAACAAAGGATGAACAGAGCCATGGAGGATGAGGCCCTAGAGATCAGCTGCCCAGACAGTGTGTTCCCATCTGTCTGAAATGGGAGGGTCTGTCCGTCCAGAGAGGGCAAGCGCACATCTCAGCATCACACAGCAAATTATTAGCTGGGCAGTTTAAAGACTTTCAGCTCCCTGTTACCTTTTGTCTGACCCAAAGAGATTCCATTTGCCTTTAGACTCTGTGGCTGTCCAATATCATAGCCACTGGCCACGTGTGGCCCTTGAGCCCTTGAAGCATGACTGGTCTGAATTAAGTGTAAGGTGCCACCTGCATTTTGAAGACAGTACTCCCAAACTGGAAACTGTCCCATTAA